GGAGTAACTGATCAAGCTTCTCATCTACGTGAGATGCGAGCGGCGCCCTACAATATCGTGGATTGCTTTCGATTGCCCAGATATAATTGGACAGCGGGTGATAAAATGCGTTTCGAAAAGAACAGCGAGCGTATTGGCCGAATAATAAGTAATAATCCGAATATGATTAGATAATGTAACGCGGTGATACAGATAATCTAATGACAATTTAATTTCGCGTTTATTTTCTCTCTGTCATCCTGTTTTGAAACTCATCCCTTAAATGGTACTTTAATCACTTTCTCCTTTCTTGATATTCTCTTCGATAAATCTTCGAGAGTAAGAAAAGCAAATAAAATGAACTGTATAGTAATATACAAGTTACATTACATCATCTAATTATAGGTCTGTTTTCCGCAGATGAACTACTGCTATAATTTCGAAACTTAAAGTGAAAATGGATATGTTTGATATTTGGCAAAAGCAAGAAAGTTCTAGTATAGGAATAAAAAACAGAGCTAACTTCAAATTATGTCATTAACATATAAGGATAAATACTACATCGTATACAAAGTTAGACAGAATCCTTGAGAAATCGGATATGTGTTCCATTTGAGGAAAACCAGAATTCTCTCTTGGGAGTAACTGTAGATAATTCGAGAAAGTTCGAGATATCTTCAAAAAATTTAAGCTCCAGTTATATCTAAAAAGATATTTGAAAATGATTATACGAATGACTGCATTCGGCAGAGAAAGCAGCTTTGCAACTGTAGCAAAATTCTTTAACATGATTGGTTTACGCATTCAGATTCAGTGAGAAAATTAAAGGCAAGACCAATCCCATTAAAGACTATTGCACAGTTTAGCAAAGTTGCTTTTTCCGCTGAGCGCAGTTAGTGCTGGGTAAAGCATTTGACAAAATTTTCTGTCATGACTGCAAGCTTGATGACGCGCTACCATCCGCGCGTCCATACCGACGACTTTGTTTACGTTCCTCGAATACGCGAGCGTGTGCATATGTTTGTCATTAGCTCATCAGAGTCATGACTCAGACGGTGCAGCGGGCGGCGGTCTCGTCGAACGAAGGGATTCTTTCTTCGTGATCCCAACCTTCCCGGTATCTACCGTGTTCTGCGCATTCACGCGCCTATCCTATTATAGGCCTCGCTGTTTAGCGTATGCACGGCGGAATGCACGATTCGTAGACGCCCGCGACCAATGGCGATGTGCGCAACGCCGGTTAACACATAAATGATCCGTTGCTGGCTTGTTGCTACCACCACAGTTTGTGGTGCCCAGCGGGGCCAGCTCTGCGAAAGACTCCGCTCCGACAAGCGCGGCGAACATTTTCATCCACGCAAATGCGCACGCATGCACGCACACTGTAGCTGTTACACGCGTAAGGTAGAGAATGCACACTTCCATACGTAGAAACTATCGTCCAGCTAATGCGAGGATAGGCTAGAATCGTGATAGCCTGCTCTCGCAAAGTCCTCACGCGGCTTTTGCGACGACGCTGCGAAAATAACGTTCGACATGCCCGATGTAATCGTCCGGCGAAACTTTCCAGTGTCGTGACGTACCGCGCTTTAATGCGCGATGCAACGTTTATGCGCAATTACAGTATTTACAGATGATAAAATTTTCTGACAGTCTTTCCGCGAAGTCTTTCGCTCCTCGTAACGAGGAATCGATCGTCATCTACCACCGATGATTGTCACAAGTCAATATTGCGTAACACATGTGGCACTAATTCAATGTTATGAAGTGGATCCTATGAATCGTTTTCGATAGTAATGGAAATCATATTATGGTTTGAAGATATTTTAATTTGGAAAGAATTTTTGTCATTTCGCGAATACATATGTCCAAAAGCGTGCACTAAAAGTCCAGTGCTTAAAAATAAATATTAAAATGTTGAATCTATTTTATTAAAATATTTATTTAAATAAATATGTATTTAAGTTAATTTTTATTCAACTACTAATAAGATAATTAGTAGAATACATAAGATGGTCAGAATGCAGATGCAATTTTTATACTCAGACTGTTTGCAATTTTCTAGCCGTGAGAATTATTCGCTCGAGTTAATTTATGATATGTTTATAATAAATTGAAAAATGGTAAAACATATTTCTATAAAAAAAAAATTTGCCTATAAATTTTATGTATAATAATTATACACTCAGCAATATACACATATACCTATATATCGAAGATGTATTTTAGGAAAGCTATGGAATCACACAACGCAAAAGACTATAAGAACCACAAATCAAACACAAGAAAAGTCTTCTTTATTCATGATGTAAACGCACTCGCGCGAGCTGAAAAATATTTATACGGATGTCGCGCAGCGATCAAGGTCTGTCTCAATAAGATCGCCACACTGCATTATTGCGTTGTTGTATTGAATTATAATCAATCCATACGAATGCAAGGTCATCTTTGCACGTTGTTGTCACCGTGATTTCCATCAGCAAAGAGCATTATTTTTCTCAAGATATAGATGGATTTCTTTCATTGCTTGAAAGATGATATAACTTGTTGGTGCTTGAAGACATCAAATAAAAATCAGAAAATTTATTAGCTTTCAATGATATATCACGACGTATATTGTGAGTTGCGTGAAAAATAATCAAAAATGTGAATAAAATATAATATATAATTATGATATATATAATTTAATACATAATTAATTTTTCAACATATAATTTTAAGAAATAAGAATTTAAAAAATATTGTAACCTAATACCTTCGAAACTTATTAATATTAAAAATATAACATACGTGATTATAAAATTATAATGTATATTGTATTTTTAATATTAATAAGTTTCGAAAATATTGTACATTATTTTTTTAATTCTTATCTTTAAAAATTTATGTCTGGATATGAGAACCATTCATATTAATTGACCTATTTATTTTTCCGAAAAAAAAAAAAAAAAAAAAAAAAAAAAAAAAA